CTGTCACGTTCTCATCTAATCACAGCAAACCAGTCATTTACCTTTTGTTAGCCTTTTACCATTCCCTTTGTGTGGGCAAAGCTCTGGGGAAGAAATCAAGCTGTTAGAAACTGAGGCCACAATTTAAGATATTTAAGGACAAGAGAACTAGTCCCCATAATATGCACAGAAATCTGAGTGTTAGAGTCCATGTGTATCTGAAAGATAACAGAAAGCTGCAGGTACTCTATGCATTTTTTTATTGATGCTGAGTTCTAATTTTACTGAACATCTGAACCTGGTTGGTGCTCAGAAATCGCTCAGAGTCAGCCAGCGCTGTAATCCTAGAAATGCCACCTTGATTAATCCGTTAACTGACTAAATGATTTGATGGAAAATCTTTTCATTAGATTCATAAAAGGAGGACTTATTTAGGTCGTGTTTGTTAATATACACAGTAAAGATGCTTTTCCTGCGGCCTTCATCTGTGGTAAAGCCTTTCTGAAAACCGCTGGGCAGAGACGTGATGAGTTAAGTGCAAATTAAAAACATATTTCTTGTCTGGCTGTTACTTGAACTTCTTATTTTCATTTAATTTGCTTTAGTTTATTGTTATTCAGCTTTTAGTTAGGATTTCATTATCATAAACAACCTGAGTAAGTTCATATCAAATGACTGCATTATTTGTATTTACCATTTTTTTATTTTCTCTTTTTCCCTAACTTCACCTTTGTTCGCATTTCTCAATTTTCAATCATTGTAGTTTGATTTATATGTTAATATGTTTTTTGTATTGTTTTAAAAGCTGCAATAAACTACAAATATTAATCTTCTGCTTAATTTTTACCTAAACATTTGAACAAGAATTATACCCTTATCTGTTTTTTTTTTTTTTTTTTTATGGAGAATTGTTTTTTGATCTTATCAATAATACTTTGATCTTTCACATGTTTCTTTATTTCTATGTTTACTTTGTGGTAAAAGTTTGAGCATTTGAATATATTTATCAATGTTTTTATTTTCTCTTCTCTATTCAACCTCTTCTACATCTTTCAGCATTTTACTTTCAGCGGTTGCCAAGGCGACTGATCTGTCTCCATTTGACCCTGTGTTCTGCATCTTTACAAACCAGGTGTAATTTTTCAATTTCTTTCTTGAATTGACTTATTTTTGTTCATTTTAATTTGTCTAACATTTTATAGGCATGTCGATTTATAGCACTTTGTTTTATACTCGTTATTATGAGTCATGCTTTCCAAATAAAGTTTGTTTGAATGATATTTATCTAAGATAAATTTTACTGCACATTTGTAGATAAATTCATTTCACAAAGAGAATTATTTCAAGCCATTTTTTTTTTCCATTCACAGCGGCAGCGTTATGACTCAAATCTGGCAAACATAATTACTTTCCAGTCAGCTGAAGTGCTGATTAGACAATGTAGCCCTTCTTCACAAGGAGATATGATGAAAGGTTAATATAACTTAAACAAGCTCTGCATGTTAGTAGCATTAAGTTCCTGCAGGTTTCATGTTGGTTATAGTTAAAGACTTCATGAAAAATAAAAATTCTGTTATTTTTTGTCAATGATAACCTCAAACATGTTGATCTTTGAAATGATTTCCTTAGTCTTACCATCATCTCTCCCTCTGCTCCAAAAACTCCCAAGTTTATCTTCAGGAATATAAATGAATAATCTAAATAATCTATTAGTATTGTATTTTTATCTTAAGTTCTGGAGCAAAGAGAAGCATAAAATAGTCATCTGTTATTTCCATGATAATAGTGTGGCCAAATAGCTGCTGCTGTTATAATGAAACACTATTAATTTTTCTGCTACACAGCTCAATACATGGAGATCAGATGGGAACAATTTTTCAGTCTCTAAAGTCTCTTAAAGAATGACATCCCAAAGTATTGTTTTATAGTTTAAATATCTTGGGATATATTTACAAATTTAAGTTTATGCAACTTTTACATTCTCCTCCACCTGATATATGAGTTTCCCCTGCAGCTCCAACCCTCTAAAGTCTGCTGGGAAGCAACAGAAGATATAAAAACACAAGAAAGGATAAGAATACAACAAGAAATGCTAAAACATACTTGCTTCAGAGGGGGAATTTTGCAAAAGAAATCTCAAGTGACAATCTGACAAAAATTGTTTGCTTATTCAGTATTACCCAAATTTGCAATTATGCTTCTGCATGTTATATTTTTTTGACAGGCTCACTGCCTGTCAAAGAAATGCAGACAGAATGGAGACTTACACTCTAAAGCTGAGATTTGTATTAAACGTGTTTTCTTCTCGTTTTCAGAATATTTCATCACTGTCGGCTCAGCACCAGGCTACGCCCTCAGGGACCTAAAGATCTTATCTATAATCACATCAGTTGAAGGTTCAGCAACGTAATGGAGTTTTTTACAGAATATACAGCAACATTTCTGTTATCTTACAAAATGTCTTAAAAAAAGGATGACTCAAAAACCCTCAGAAGCTCCTTCAAAACCTTTGATGACAGTAGTTTTCTCATGCACTTTCCTCTCACACCATGAAAAGTGTGTCCCTCACTTGACCCATATGGTCTCACTTACTTCAGATAGCTTGTTTGAGCACATCAGTAACAATGCTGAAGGTTAAAAGGCTTGAGTGGACTGGGTGCAATCTCAAAGTATGCAATGCAAGGGGGGTGTTTGGTCGTATTTTTGGACACAACTCTGCAGTTTCTTGGATTGACACCAAGGACGTTTCGTTCAGTTTGTTAAGCAAAAACAAAAACTGTCAACGAAAACTCCCACAAAGTAAATGTTCCAAGATTAATTCACAGTAACACTGCAACACATGGAGCTGCAGCCAATGTGGGATGAAAAAAAAAGAAGCCAAAAAATTATGCCAGGGTTTGAAAATAGCTTTCACCACAGTTGATATCTGTCAGAGATGGAATAAAGCTTCGCTGCACAAGAGTTGTAACACCATAGCATACACTACCCTGCAAAAATCTTTATGGCCCTCAAACCTGATTGTATTTTTAATCAATGACCTTTGATCTATTGTACAAATGTGGACCAACACATAGTAATGATCAGGATAATGAGTCATGAGTGTGTAAACAGCTTTTAGAGTTCTTACGTTGGCTATGTGAGTACAAGCCATGTGGTATTTTCTATCTTAAGGGCAAAAAAAGAAGACATTTTGAAGCCAATTAATAAACCAAAACACAATTTGCATAGAAAGAAGATTTGCGAGCAAATTTGTGTTTCAGTTACATACATTTTGTCTAAAGGAGGAGCCAAAATCCTAGATATCTGTGGAAGGATCCCCGAAAGTCAGAAACAGGAAGCTTGAAGTGGGGTGTCAATATAAAAGCTTGAAGAAGTTTTTTAAATACGTTTTATTGCATCATGTTGATACAGTCACAAGAAAGTTTATACTTACCAAATTTTGCAAATTTGTATGTTATATCTTACCACGTTTTGAAGCTAACACTTAAATTTTACATTACAATTGATAACACTACTTTATGCGTTTATATATTGTGTGTTTATAAAGGAATCTATGGTTAGTGAAAAGAAAAAAAGAATTACTGACAAATACAAAACAGTCAAACCCCATTCTTGTAATGCTAAACCAAATGTGTTTTTCTATCTCTTGCTTTGTGTAGAAACCAAGAACACTTATTGGACAGAATAATCTCCATCTACTACCTTCTTTAGTTGAAGGTTAATTGTTGAACTGCTATTTCCTTGTGTGGAAGATGTTCTCCACGTTGCAATAGATCTTTAAATTATTTTTGTTTACATTTGTTTTCCAGGGCTTTGGTGTGCAGGCACGAGTAAATAGTGGTTCTAGGAATGATAGCTGTATACAATTTTTGACAACTTGTAGCTGTTCTAGGTCAGGCTGACCTAATCTAAATGATTTAAAAGAAATGTTTTAAAACGTTGGTGGAAGGATAACATAAGCTCTGAGGTGAGACTTAACTGGTTAAGATATTCAAATATGTAGTAATGATATGACTCTGCACACCTTGAAACAAAACAATACAAAAGTTTTTTGGGATCTTTGAGCCTTTTGAGTTTCTGAATGTACTGTATGCTTTGGCAGGAATATGTTGAGATAAAAACTCCGCCATGTTTTGCTTTGAGGAGAGAACTGTTATTATTTCATTTAAATCTATTAAGTGAACTTTTTTTTTTTTTTTTAGAATATCAAAAAGATTATCAACTGCAAGGGCCTCCAGGACGGGTTGATACAAAAAGTATTTTCTGGAGCTGCAAAACCTAAACATTTTGATAACATCCTTCATATCCCAAAAAATATAAGAATATTTTTTATGAGCAGAAATACAAACAACATTTGTATAAAGATAACGTTAGGTTTCTGGGAGATACTATTTCTTTTTTGCTGCCTCAGAGAAAGGGGAACCTTGATGATGGATGGGCTTATGTTTATCCATGGGTTGTGCCAGTAGCTCCAAACCAAAATCATTGATAAAATAACTTCATATGATGATATAAGAGAAAAAAATAGCATAGATTAATAACAAAAGCCATTTATTAAAAAAAATAATATTCAATAGGTAAAACAATACAAAATAAAGTGCTGAATTACATTTGTATTTGTCTTACCAAACAGTCCACTTTCTGGTTTTATCCAGAAAAAACGAAAATAGATACTTAAATCAAATTTCACACCTCTCCAAACTTTTTGGATGCTGTGTAGAAGCTCTGTATTTAGGGCGTCATACAGCTTTAGACTGGATCTGCTCCAAGCCAGGCTTCTTCCAGCAGCTTTAGCTCTCAATCTGTGTGCATGCAGCTTATAACTACGCAATAGAAAGGAAAGAAAATGAGAGACTGTCTGACCTAAGCACTGTCGAAAAACCCCAACATCTCCTTAAAAGCTTGTCTTTTCTTAAAGCTTTTTTCAATCAAATGATACAATATAAGGTTTCTACTACATTATGGTAAGGGGCATCCAATGTGTCATTTTTATACAATTTATTGATAGCAAAAAAAAAAGAAGAAGAAAATAAAATCCACCACAGTAGTAAAGAACATTTTCAGGCAGAGCAGGAGGTCCTGAGCCAAAGACTCCAAAAGCAGTTCACTCTCCACATTGTTCCCATTCAGCGTGAGGTCATACTGCTCACAGGACAGGAAGTTTCCACCCTCACTGGGCGGTTTGTCCACTGTGGTCCTCTGAGGGTTTTCAGCAACAGCTCAAGTCTTTTTAGATTGTCTCATCCGTCGGTTCGTACAATCTCTCTCCTCTGTTATTCTCCTTGTGCCTCCTGAAAAGAGGTGTTCAATTTAGATCAAACAGCAGTAACAAACTGTGAACACACTGGAGTAAAAAAATGACAATTGTTTTGTCAGCAGATGCAGCCTAGCCTGTCATGTTGCATAGCTGGTGGGAGGAAGCCATGTCGTATTTTTCTGTTTCACTCTCCCCATGTTATTATTGTTTCTCTCTCTGTCACAGCATTAGCCTTATCTTCAGAGCATAGCCTGAAATAAGATTTGTGTCTGACACAGTGTTTTTGTTTGGTTCTGTACCTCCACAGTAGAAACGCCAGGACTCCTCCACACACCAGCACCAGGAGGACAAGACACACCACAGCCGCCATCGTCCCTCTGCCCCCACTTTCACAAGGTGCTGTGAGCCATAGAAAAAAAAAAGAATGAAAAGAGAAGAAAAACCAGACATCTGACATGACTGCTCTGTAACACCTAAAAGATCAAGTCTATAACCTGGCAAAAAGAAAGAAGATAGTAGAACACATCCTAAGATACCTAGACAGCACTTGGACGATCATGTTCTTTGGCAGACAATTGCATTTGTCTCGCCTGTTTAGCAGCTTTGCAAGCTGCAATGGCCGAAGCAGCGACAGTGATTTATTGATCACACTGTGGAAAATCCTTTATCAGAAAAACAGCATAGCAGATACAATATACAAGAACAAAGCACAATCAGGATGGAGCCCAGACAGACCCAAGGTCTGATGTGTGAAAATCCATGAAGTAAAAGCAGAAGCTGACTTAAAAAAAATATAACAAGCACATGAATAGTACAAGCAGCTCTGCACGTTAATTTTTTGTCACTTTACAACCATAAACTGGTGTTTCATGAGCCAGAATAACAAATATAGCTAATGACAGGAAACTCAACAAAAACATATTTAGGTGTTTCAGAATGTATTCAAATAAATAGATAATCCCTTTTTTATTCATGTAGAACATTGTATTGCAGTGATAACATCTGCAAGTTCTTTTGGGGAATATTTTCCTATTTACATATAAAGAAATATATTTTTGTCTTTATTACAGCTTTCCAACTAGGACCTCCAGACATGTTTTACCTGCCTCGGTGCTATATTCCTATCTGCTGATCCTCATCCTACATAAGAGTAGGGTATTAAAAATAAACTAATTAAGGAGATTTACAAGTAGATATATGTTCCAACTCTCATCTATGGTCATGAGCTTTGGGTCATTGACCAAAAGAATGAGATTCCGGATACTAGCAGCCGAAATTAGTTTTCTCCGTAGTGTGTCTGGGCTCTCCCTTAGAGATAGGGGGAGGAGCTCAGTCATCCGGGGAGGACTCAGAGTAGATGCACTGCTCCTCCACATCAAGAGGAGCCAGTTATGTGGCTCGGGAGTCTGGTTAGTATGCCTCCTGGAGGCCTCCCTGGTGAGGTGTTTCAGGCACAGTCCACCGGGAGGTCACCCAGAGGGAGACCCATGGAAACGCTGGAGGGACTATGTTTCTGGGGTGGCCCGGGAGCGCCTTGGGATTCCAACGGAGGGGGTGGCCCAAGTGGCTGGGGAGAGGGACGTCTACAGTAGGTCTCCCTACTGAAGCTGCTACCCTCGCGACCCGAACCCGGATAAGTGGAAGGAGATGTGTGGATAGATTGATGGATGGATGTCTGGATGAATGGGTGGATTAATGCTTTACTTACATCTATTTTATATGACTTTTTTTTACATTGACAAATACTATTGCAGCAGTATTTTGTTGAAAATTACCTCTAAAAGTAAGATCTTACTGTGCTTTTTATTATTACGTATATGGAAATGTATAAGAATTAATTAATATAGTTAATTAAAAAAGCCACTTATCTCACAGATTTTGTGCAACTTTGATTAGTGATTACCCAGGTTCTGAGGTTTCCGTATTGGACATGATAAAAAGTTAAGGCTGCAGAGTTTTCCACTAAACTCACAGCAGTCAAAGCAGCAAGAAACTGAAGAAGCAATAACTTTCATAAGTTGGGTATTCACTGCAAATTGGCCTTTAACTCTACAATTCAGATGTTCAGAAATACAACTACTTTTCTTTGCAGCTATAAAAAGTTACAGATACTCCAACTAAATGAGTTTGAATGTTTTTTAAACACCAGAGAATCATATGTATGGTTAAGAGTGAAATTATACTCATGCCTGCTGTGTATGTGGCAGAACTGTGTCCCAGCTTGTTGCCAACCATGCAGGTGAAGTGGCCACAAATGGGAGTCATTGTCACAAGCAGCGTGCTTCCACCCTTGGAGACACTTCCCACCTGCTGAGTGATGGCGGCTCGCTCATGCAGCCAGGTGAAGCTGGGGTCTGTTCCCCACGCCTCGTGGCAAATCAGCAAGGAGTGAGAAATGTTGATGCTGACGGAGACATGATGAACTGCCTCTGGGGTGACAAAGAAACTGTGATGAGGTCAAAAATCATGATAAGCAAGTAGGTAAAAACTGGGAGTTGGATAGAAACAAGAGGGATGAAGTGTGCTGTGGGTTTCTATCTGTTATTGGATAATGGTACATGCCTGTCAAAGAGGCTTCAAGACAAAGAACCTGGAGAGACATTTAATGCTGTCAGGAGAAGCTGAATCAGAGCCAATGATGAGCTCAGAGAGGGAAGTATAAAGTCTAAAACATAGGATGAAGGGGGAAAATGAAAGAGCTGCAATAAGAGATGAGCCATTTGGAAAGGTACAAACAAAAAAGAAGAAACAGGAGAACATAGCCTTGAGGCAAATTTAATTTCAAGTGTTGCATTATTAAATGAAATGCTCACCTTCAGAAGAAAAAAAAAACGGTTTAAGCGAGAAATTAAAAGAATTCATAACACTTTTGTTTCTACTGAATATCAAACTAGAAAGGCTAGAGCATATCAGCTACAGTAAGGGAACTACGTCTGCTTTAATGCAATTAGTGAGCAAGGACGCGCTTTTTAAAATGTGTTTTATATAAACAGCTTCCAAATGTTGCAGTGCAACAGAATTCCCAAAAATATGTCTCCATCACAATTGCTTCAGCATCTGCCGACCTTTGGGACGACAGCGTAAAATTGATAAACTCTCATACAGGGCTAATGACTGTTTAAAATGGAACAAAACATGGGGTTAAATTTGCAACTAAAAAAAAGTCCATGATATCTTTCAGTTTTGTTGGATAGACTTTTAAACTATTTAACAATCTGATTGCATTGATGTGAAAAACATGTATCCTTTTGGACATATTTTTGACTTTCTTTTTTAGTTTTCTGTTATGTCATTCTGTTTTGTTGGTCATTGGTTTCTTTTCCATTTTATGTTATATTTAAACAGTGTTGCCTTTTCTGATTCACTCTCTGTTGCCCCCTTGTGCCAGTCTCCTTTCCCCTAGCTCCCTCCTAGTTACTTCTATCCACACCTGCTCCCTATCAGCTGATTGGCCCATTCTTCATTCTGTCCCCCATATATACTCCTCCACTTCAGTCACTGTTTGCTGCTTTCTTGTTGTTACTTGGCTCCCCATGTGTGTTTTCCCCTGACGTATCCTTGTATTTTGGTTCTTGTATTTTGTTTCTGTTGCCTTTTTAAATCAGGAAAACACAGCTCTGCCTCCTCATCTATGCCTTTGGGTCCTCAAGTAAGTTCCACCAAACCTAACAAAAAACTGTTTCTTATACAATCATTAAACTTAAAGATTTTAATTCAGATTAATGTGAAGCTTCTATTTAAGGACCTTTTTTAATTGTGTGTTTAGCTACATGATTCCATTTGCTTTTCACTTTTCTGCTGTTAAGCATACATTTCTCCACCAATAGACAATGAAGGATATTTCTATTCCCTTCTATGTGTAAAATAAGTTTCTCATTATGGACAGTATTTCCACAATTGAATCATATGTGGAAATGAGATCATACAGTAACATAAGTGTTCCCTACATAGACAATTTTTGCACATTTAGTATTATTTTTTGTAATAACACGAACCATTAGGAAGTTTTATCATGTAGGAACATGTGGAACCTTTTATCAGTTTAAGAACATTTTCCAAATGTACAGTAGAAGGTTTTGATCTAAATTTTGTTTTCTCATATATAGAAAATATGACCTAATGTGTTTTATTATGGAAGGAATACAAATCTATAATCATTTTATTTGTTTTTATATTCCTTTTTGTAAACGTTTGCCCTACTTATATACATGCAATGGAGGCGTTTATTTAAAATAAAAGGAAGATAACTTGCGTCCAAATAAACTGACTTTAAAAGCTCATTATTTTGTTCCAAATGTTGTTCATCATACTGTACCATATTCCCTGACGATACAGCGTCCAGTAGCATTGGTTCCTGAGCCATCCATCACCGTCACTGAATACTCCCCACTGTCTTCTATGCTGTATCTGTTGATCTCTAGCGTTGTCTCCTGCTCCATGAAACTCATTTGTATATTTGGAGTGCCACCAGAACACTTAGTGTTTTTAGCAGGACACGCAGCCAGCGTCACCTTCACCCGATCACGTCCAGTTTCAGGCTCCCGTGCCCATGTTATAGTGGAGATCTCTTCCCTGGGATCCTTTTGGATCCGAGCAGTGAGAACTAGTTTGGAGCCTGGGATTACGTGTACAGGATGCTCATTGAGGATATGCACTGACATTGACCAATATCTGCCTGGCACTGTGGATAAAGAGTGGAAAATTTGTTACTTGCTGCTATTTTTTTCTTGCCATTTATTACAGAAAACACGCTATGATGCATTTATGCATAGATGCAAGGCATATACTGTCTGCCACATAATGTCAGGTGATGATTTATGGTCCATGTCGTCCCTGTGCAGTCTGATAGCCATCAAACCACATCAGCATCCTGATTTCTGTGTCAAATCCTGTTAAGGCTCCATGCATGCAACACAGGAGCTATTAATCATTTGTCTTAACCTGATCGACAGGCTATGGAGGAAGTGTAAATAACAGAACTTGGGTTACTAATGCAAGAAGTCTTGTGTTTATGTAACAGTGCAGAATGAAAAGTTCTCGACTTCCGTCTCAGGTTAAAGCATTTTGCTGTGTCATCCCTTTCAAACAATATTCTGGCAACTTTCTGTCAAATTTGATTTGAAACTGAAAATGATGATTATTAAAACAAAAACAGTCTTACACAGAAGAAGAAGTGGCACAACTTTCCAGCACAGGAGACACTGCAGATCCATAACACCCGCTGGTGCTGAAAGAATGCAGAGAAAGAGGAATTTGTCCAAGAGCTCAACAGCAACAGCAACAGCCTGCTTTTTCTTTTGTACTCAGGCAGCAGGGGTGCCACAATGGCAAGAATAATAACATCACCTCCAGAAAAACAACAATTAAAGCAGTGTTCACAACCATAACAAGTGGAATCCAAAATGCTCACTACTTCCCTCTCCTTTCTCTCTGAATTTATTTGTGAAGGAAAAGCAGCAAAAATCTCCGGAGTTGGAACAAAACAGAGCCCAGTCTGCTGCCAACTACTTTAATTTAAAATAAGCCCAAAGAAAAAAAGAAAGTGAACGCCCAAAGCACAGTAAGCGCCATAACACAGTGAGAGGAAACACTGATAACAGCTCAGGAACCCAACATACATAATACATCCAAGAATTTTACCCTGTTGTTTACAGTGAATCTAATCCCCCCTCCCAAAAAAAACAAAAAAAAAAAACAGTATTAGTGAAATTCACCTTACCGATGGAGAGATGAGAAACAGTACAGAGAAGCTTTTCACGGTGTGTTCTTAGAGTGCTAAAGAGGAACAGACTAAAAATAGATTTATGGCCCCAAATGAAGCAACACCTCCAAAGAGCTTTTAGTTACATAATATGAAATGGTTTCTGTCAAAAACAGACTTCTTCTTCTCTTGGCCCTCTGTTTAGGTCCAGCTTGACAGCAATCACTGGTTTTAAACCTTTCTCCCTCTTATCCAAACCCCACCCCAGACTTCCTGGACATCCAGTCTATTGTTGTGTTCAGTTTTTCTGATTGGTGAACTTGCTACTGTAAAAAAATGAAGAAAAAAAAAATCTACCTCCCCTTTCTCACCCTCTCTTCCCTCCTCTTCCTCCTCCTACTCTCTCTGACCCATGACCAAATCTCTTCTCCCCATGCGCTCTTTTAACAATGTTTAACTTTCAATGTTCATGAAACTTTTGTTTCGCTTTTTGTAAACATCGATCAAATGTAACAGTGTTCTTTGGATGGGGAACAAAGTCCCATAAAATGGACTTTGTTTTCCAGAGCTCTTATCCTGCACCAAACACTTAGGGCTGAAGGCAGTGCATTGTGTTGGCTTTATATTGTTAAAAGGAAGCGGATACAGATGATTTACTCTATTTTTATTTCTTTTAATTATAGTTACTGAAAAACATCTTCAAGCACGTAAAGGGAAAGGCCGATTATTTTATTCCCAGGGACAGATTTGAGAAAATCACACGAAAAAAGACATTTTATTCCATACAGCTGCAACTAAACCAGCATTGAAATGCTGTAATGTTGTTTATCCAGCTTCGCAAACAGTTTAAACATTCCCTAATCTATAATGATATAAAGTATTCAGAGAGTAATGCGCTTATTTTTCTCCTTAGGAGACACAACCTGGGGTTTAGATAAAAGGGATTTGAAAGTGATCATAAATCCCTCAGTATTTAGCAAGAGATTGATAAGCAATCACAGGGATCACAGCTGTGGATCCCCAAAGCGCTCTTTGTCCACAAAGAAGTGTATTTAGCAGGAATTATCCAGTGGGTGGCACTAATCTAACAGCTGAAGGACATCCTCTCATTTGGCCTTCATACAGCTGGGTCCCAAATATTAAAATAGTTTCCAAATTCTTATTTAAGTGTGTTAAAGTTTTGGTTCATGCACTAATTGGAACAAAATGAAAAACGATGATCATGAATTGGTTTTCTGCATACAATGCCATAGAAAAGAATGTCTGACCAGAACCTTTTAAAATGTTTTCATTTTAAGTGTTGACATACATTATTAGAATTTATTGTGTGTTTAATATCATTGCAATTAGGAAGAAACAAATTAAAGGTTTTCAGTGGCTTTTTTTAAAATGAAAATCTAACAAACTGTGGCCTGCTTTTGTTTTCAGCCCAAAGTCATTACTTTAAAACCTTCTTTTCTCGCTTTTACTTTTGCTTGTTCTTCTTAGTAGTGCAGCACTAGCTAAGACAGGCTGGATGGATAGAGAGAGTTCATGAGCTTCAGTTTTCAGGTTATTCCACAGAGATTCCCACATTGAGCCATTCTAACACATTAATATGCTTTGCCCTGAGCCATTTAATTGCATCTTTGGCTGTTTCGCTGGAGGTGACATTTCTACTGGAAGCTGAACCAACACAATAGAAAGCATGGTTACAAAGTAAAAGGAAATGAATATGAGGCTTTAGATTTATGGCTTAGATGCAGCTGCTTGGGAACCCTTTTCCTGCAGAAAGTTTTCACTATGCGTTCCAGCATCCACTTACCATGCACTGTCAGTTTACATGGCATACCCTTTCGTTTTTGAATTGCTTTCATTCCCAAACACTTCCATTTTCTTCTGATGCAGCTGACAGTTGACTGTGGAATATTTAGAAGCAAGGAAAATCCAGAACAGGATTTGTTGCACAGTTGGCATCCTATCACAGCTCCACACTGGAATTCACTGAGCGACCCATTGTTCCTCCAGTGTTTGTAACAACAGTCTGCATGCCTAGGTGCTTGATTTTAAACACCGGTGGCCATGGAAGTGTTTGGAACATCTGATTCAAAGTCTGCATTATTTTATCATAAACATTCAAAAACCATAGTAAAACCAACATGTTTTATTAGATGCAACTCCACATTTTACTTAGAACTGCAGCTTGTAGCAAAATGTTTTAATATTTTTTTTCATCTACTAACATTTTTCTACACAGACAAAGAGAGAGGTCAGTTGAGCAACTTTAAGCTTATTTGTATTGGAGCACAATTTCTAGTCAAGATATACTAAAGGTTTAAATGGCTGCTGTTGAATGTGACTGACAAGTGGGTGAGTAAACAAATGTCTCTGTTGTTGGGATCTATTTATTTGGCTTATGTATAAGGCATAGGCTGTTGTTTACATGTTGGGTTATTTTTAAAGCTGGCAATATAATCACCATTATAGTGCGGGTCATTCTGCACCAAATGGCACGCACCATCAAAATGTACTCAGGCCAATTCTCCATTTGTATATAATCTCTACAGACCTGTCTAATTGACATGGATCTTTGGAAATTAATAAAGTAGATTTTAATTTTTGAATTTCTCTAAAAATAATGGAAAAGATCCCTCTACCAATCTGGTTCCAGGCTGATCCAGTGTATGTTCAAATTGGTTGTGAAATATTGTTTATAGAACTCACTGTGCTAAGGGTCTTTGAAATGACATGCTGCTACTAAGAATGAGTCACCCTTGGTGTGAGGGATGGAGGATTCTTAACTCTCAACAATTTAGAGCAATTTCAGGGCTGACTCATGGTTACTACCGCCCAGAGAATCAGAGACACTCAGCCCTGAGCGGAGACCTTCTCTGTGGAGGGGATCCTTATCACTATCTGACCTAAAACTCCTGATCGATACAACTGAAGGGGTTTGATAAGAGATAAATAAGTGCAATTCTCCAACACTGCCTGTTCTTAATCAATTTCTCAAATCATTTTTTATTAGCTTGCAAACCCTAGATAAGAGTAAGGCCTTACTTGATTACATCAATTTAATTATTTTATTCTTGAAAATGTTGCTTACTTATTTTCTCAGTTTTTAGTTCTTTAATAGCAAAAACTATTTACCAACCTTTTTTAATGTCTCCATTAATTAATATAGGTTTGTGTGTGTGTGCATTAGATGTATTTAGCATTATTTCGACTTGCCAAATAAGGCATCCATGATTGGCACTTGAAATATAACAGCTGTAAAAATTGGTAATGAGCACTGCT